ACCATGAGGTTGTCTGAACCCCCTACTTTTGTACCCCCACCTGAAAGGACACCATTCTTCATGACAGATGTAGAAGAATGAAGGAGGCCATATGAAAGACAGCACTTTTATTTTATAGACAGGAACATTATACTTCTAAAGATGTTGGATTTGGTTAAATTTAAATGGAATTAAATAGTTGATTTGCTTTTTGATTCAGAAGTAGGGGGTTCAAACTGAAGACCAAAATAGTCGTAGACAAAATAAAGTGTGTGTATATATAAACACACTACACACACACACACACACACACAATGAATGTATACATACATTTTTACATATATGCATATATATGCATATGTGTGTGTGTATATACACACATATACATAAAATGCATATATACATAAAATGTAATTGCTTTGTTTTGTCTACAACTATTTTGGTCTTCAGTTTGAAGCTGTTACATGTGAGTAGGAAAAAAATACACAACATAGTATGATTTAAATTTATGACCCTGCTCTGTATGTTAAATAATGAGCACAGCATTCATAATAAGTCCTTAATATATGTTGAATTAATGTCAACTTAAAACTTCCAGAAAGCGCAGCATCTCTGGGATATTTAAGCAGCATATAAAATTTAATGTGTTAAATGAAGAATTGTTGATTCCCACCATTCTGATTTACTCCGCCTCTGTATTATCCATGTCAATACATGGCCTCACCTTTTAGCTGATTTCCTCAGTATTTAGGTTTCCCCTTTTCTTTTATCTCCACATCCAACCCAGCAGGAAATGTTGTTGGCTTTCCTATTACATAAGTTGACTCTATTTCTTTCTCTCTGTCTCTGTTATCTAAATTTAATCAGATTTCTGCATTTTACTTCCTAACTCCGCTATCCATTTTTTTTTCCTCCCAGAAGCCAATGTAATTTTTTAAAAACACAGAAGAAATCCTGTCAATCTCCTGCTTAAAACCCTTTCAGACTTTTTATTACTTTTGGAATAAAATCTAAATCTACTGTCTTCGTCAACAAAGCCCTGCATGGTTCGGTCTCTGCTTGGCTCTCTAAATTTGTCTCCCACCTCTCTCCTCCTTCCCCCCCAGTGCAAACTGTACAGGACTCCTTGCAATTTCTCAGTCATGCCAGAACTTTTGCACATGTCCCATGTGTCTGGAATTCTCTTTCTCTAGATCTTTGCAAAACTAGCTCTTTCACGGTCTATATACATCTCTTCTCAAATATCAATTTAGGAAGATTTTTCTGACTATCCCAGTTATTCTTTATAAATGTTTACTTCCATTATAATATTTATCACCATCTATAACTATTTTGATTTTGAAATTCTGCTTATCTATTTATTGCCAGTGTCGCTCCATAAACTCTGTGGAGGGCAAGAATCTTGTCTATCCACTGTTGTGGATAGAACCATTAACCTAGAACCATTAACTGTACAGAGAAGGGTTCAACAAATATTTACTGAAAGAAGAAAGAGGGAAGGAAAAAAGAAAGCAAGGAAGCAAGGAAGGAAGAAAAGATGTGAGGAATGAATGAAATGCTCCCAAGTCCAAACCATCAATAAAGTTCATTATGATTAATGTAATATATCATAACCTATTTTCTGTTATATAAGTCAAGATTAAGCCATCTATTATTTATATTAAAACTGGAATTTATTTGCTTTTTAAAATCATTATATATTCTGGATTAATTTCACATGAAATTTTATTAGTCTTGGTTATTGAATTGATTTATCAAATTTGAAACACAATTCATCATGTAGTAGTGCTATTTGTCAAATAATTTCAGGTTCCTGCCTTCACATAAATAGCTGGAGTGTACTTTTGGTCCCTTTTAGGTTGGGCGGGGTCATGTGACTAGTTCTAGTTAATGAGTGATGAGTGGTGATGGCAGTGGGCAGTGCTGTGTGTCATTCTCAAACTGGAGCACATAATTACCAATACAAGATGTTTCAAAGATTTCTTTTCTTTTGCCATGGGTTCACCAGATAAAGTTACCATCTTTATGCTACTTTCATTATTATTTTTTCTTTAGATTTTTTTCCCCAATAATTTATTAAATTTTGATGAATGAATGTATTTTTGTTGCATTTTGTAAAGCCATTACTTCAATATGTCTTCGAAATATATATTTTTAAAATTTTTATTATTGAAGTATAGTTGACATATATTAGTTTCAGGTAGACAACATAGTGATTTGGCAATTCCATACATTATGCAATGCTCATCACAATAAGTGTATTAGATTTTTTTTTTTTATCAATTCTTCATCATTCACTTATGCAGGAAACATCTACTATGTTATCAGGTACTCTTCTATGCTCTTGGGATAATTAGTGAACAAAATTGACTATGATGTTCACTCTTGCAGCTTGCATTATAGCGTTGTAGAGATAGACAATAAATATCATATTTAAGTAAATTATATAGTGTATTATAAAGTAATAAATGTCATGGAAAAGAGAAAATGTAAGGGAGATTGAGAAGTCTGGGATTGGGAGGAGATGGTCGGGGTAGGCCTCGCCAGGGAAGTGAAGTATAAGCAAAGTCTTGAAGAAAGTGTAGGGCTGAGCAGGCAGATATCTAAGGCCAAGTCACTCCACACTGGAGTGAATTAGCTAGGACAATGGTTCTTAATATCTTGGTGTCAGGACTCTTTCATACTCTTAAACTATGGTAAGGAGCCCAAAGAGCTTCTTGATCATTCAGATCCCATGAAAGGATCCTGAGGACTTACAGAGATCCCTGGGTCATCCTTTGATGGATGCTGGAGCAAAGGCTGAGGGAGGCCTGGTCTGTTGTAGGGACTTCAAGAATGCTGGTATGACCGAGAGAGATCTACGGGAAAAAGACAGGAGAGGAAGTCAGAGAGGAAACTGTGACCAAATCATATAGGACCTCCTAGGATACTATAAAGCCTTAATCCATACTCTGAGGGACATGGGGATCACTTAAGAACTTTGAGCAGAAGAATGGCATGATCTGACAAGCTTTCAACAGGATATTGTGGTTGCGGTGTTGCAACTAGACTGGACAAAGCCAGAGAACAAGGCGAGGGACTTGTAAAAGGCTACTACAGTAATTCAGTGGGGGTACCCTCATTTATCAGTTGGCTCTAAATGCATCAATAGACTCATTCCAAGCTCCTTTAGTACTGTTGAAGTAATACTCTTTCCCTTTGACTGATTCACATTCAATGTACTTTTCTCTTCCTTTCCCTCACAGCCTTATGTAAAGACATTGTTATTCCCTAACTGCACATCTCCCTTAATTTTCTTGTTAAAAGGCAATAGAGAAAAAACTATTTATTTTTATAGCTCCTTTTTAGCTAATATTTCAATTCCCTACTCTTTTATCAGCAGGCTCATTTTTCTAGCTCTTTTAAAAATTACAATACTCTGAAAGGCAATTATGAGTCCTTTTGTTAACATTTTTGTTAATCATTTTTCATTTATTCATTGGGTTCCATGTTTTTTGTTCATTTTGTTCTTTTTATCAGACATATTTTTCTACTAATGAGTCTCTTGCATTTTAAACTAGGTCTGTCTTTGACGTCAATTCTAATATGATTTTTTTCCCCCAATACACTTTTTGGCACGTGAATTCATTATAAAATAAAAATAGAAGTTTCTTCTCTTTTGGTACTTAAAAAATCAAGTAAGTCTATCATCTGCTAGGATTTAATTAGAATGTAGTCACTCAATTTCTCTGTATTTAAAAAATTCTTTCTAGTGTAATACTCATCCATCTTAAATGTCAATGTTATTTTGAAATATATTTTATTATGCCACATTGTTTTCTATGCTTATTTCACCCACTAGATTGTAAACTCCTTGAAAAATAGGCTTCAGTAATCTTCCTTCACCCACCACCTATTTCTTTATCCCTTGTTGTCTTATAAGAATATAATCAATTATGGCATTTACTCATATTATTTCTTATTCATTTTGGTTTCCATACTGAGGCACTTGAAAAAAAAAATTAAGTAATCTCTAGGCTCAGTGTGGGGTTTTAACTCACAACCCCAAGATCAAGAGTTGCATTCTCCACTGACTGACCCAGCCAGGTAACGCTGTACTTTAAAAAAAATTATAAAACCTATTAAAATTTTCTAAAACTTAATTTTTAAAACTCTTTTTCAAATTTAAGTGGAATTGAGTGGAGGTGAGAGTAGTACTGGGAGTTATTAATCCAGAAAAGGAGTTCTGGTCTATTTTCTGTCTGTGGACCTTAACAGTCTTTCAAAAATAGATGAAATATTTTAGTGCACTCATTAGCTTGATCTAATGATTATATGAGACCTTTTCCTTCATGGGAAGAAAGAGTAAAAAAGTACAAATCAGGGGCGCCTGGGTGCCTCAGTCATTAAGCTGCTACCTTCGGCTCAGGTCATGATTCCAACATCCTGGAATGGAGCCCCGCATGGGGCTTCCTGCTCAGTGGGACGCCTGCTTCTCCCTTTCCCTGCTGCTCTGCCTACTTGTGTTCTCTCTGTCTCTCTCGAATAAATAAATAAAATCTTCAAAAAAAAAAGGTACAAATCAGTTTATTGAAGATGGCTAACAATTCTACAGTTAAATTTAAAAATTTATAAAAACTGCTTATTTCTAAGCAGTTTAAACTAACTCATATATAAAGTATCATATCTAATTGATAGTATCAGTTTAAAATTATTTTTTCTTTTCTTTTTAGATTTTACTTATTTATTTATGAGGGAGAGAGAGATTGAGCACAAGCAGGGGGAGCAGCAGCCAGAGGGAGAAACAAGTTCCCCGCTGAGCAAGGAGCCCCATGTGGGACTCTATCCAAGGACTCTGGGGTCATGACCTGAGCCAGCTGAAGGCAGACACTCAACCAACTGAGCCACCCAGGCATCCCAATTTCATCAGTTTTATTGTATGTTTGATTTTATAATTTTTTTTTGCAATTTCATAATCCTCCATTTAGTAGGCTAAGTAGAAAGTTTTATAATAACTTTTCTTTCTTCCTTCCTTCCTTTCTCTCACTTAGTCTGCATCTTCTCCCTCTTATTCTTTCAAAGGAAGAGAAGAACCAACCAATATCAAGGGTGAATGTCATTTGCAGAAGCAACAAGAACCAGCTTCGTGCTCAGGAGAGAGTGCCATGCCTCCTCCTGGTAATTTCCAGTGCACCACATATTCAGAGAATTTCTCTAGTAACAAACTGTAGGAATGATCCTTGAAACTATGGTCTTTGAAATTTTTATTTTTGGTATTATGTATCCCCTGAGTATACACAGGGTAACTGCTACACATGTAGGGTATCCATATAATTTATTGTCTGAATTAGGGCAGTTTTGAGAATTAAAAGGCGGCACTACCAATAATCACTTGAGGACAAAATGTAGAAACTGACTGTTCCCAGCAGACCACAGTGTCTGGTCAACCTATAGTCAAAGTTCTAGGGGAACACTTTTCTCCCCCAGGATTTTGTGTCCTAGAGAGGAAGGAACTTCTAGAATAGTATGGAAAAAAACCACTTTTATCTTTTCTCTTTCTTTTCTCGTATCCGTCCCCAGGAGAGGAGGAGTGATTTTGCTGATTGATGAGTTTGGGAGAAGAAATGGAGCATTTAATCTCCAAGTATAACTACTGCCAAAGCAGCCAATGTAATACTTGATACTTCTAAAAATAAAGATTTCTCCAGATGCTTGTTGCAGAAGTTTCTGACATTATATAAAATATTTTTTTTTTGCTTGATAATTCTAATTTTAAATGTCCATATGGACTTTTGGAAAACTAAATTTAAGCATATCCCTCTCTTTACCACAACTCCTTCTACCGTAAATCTTTTCATATGTTCAGGTAATATGTTCTTTAGGGAAGCTTTCCTATTTTGCATATCACCCAAAGATGCCTTCTCTGTTTCAGAGAATCCTCTGTTTAATTAAATTTAAATTGAACTCTTATCTTTTTGCATCAACCAGCTTTTTGATTTAGGTAATAAATCAGGTTTTATCTACTTTATTATGTGTATTATTGAGCTACATTTATTAGTAATCTAAGATTTTTTTAAAGATTTTTTTTAAAGTAATCTCTATACTCAGCTTGGGGCTTGAACTTACAACTCCAAGATGACTCACACCAACTAAGCCAGCCAAACACTCCATATTATTAATCTGAAATTTTTAAAGATTTTTAAAAAAATTTATTTGAGAGAGAGAGTGAGTGAGCAAGCATGAGAGACCGAGAGAGAGAACACCATCAGGGGAATGAGCAAAGAGAGAGGGAGAAGTAGACTCCCCGATGAGAAGGGAGACCAACACTGGGACTCCAGGATCACCACCCTAGCCAAAGGCAGATGCTTAAATGACTGACCCACCCAGGTGCCCCTATTAATCTAAATTTTAAAATTGAGCCCAAATCACAGAGACCAAGTTTAGACAATTTCTTTTTCTTTTTTAAAGGCTTCCCTGCAAGAGAGTACAGCTTAAGTTTGTTACTTTTGAGAACGCTATAGATTTTTCTATGATACTGAATCTTTAATGTTAAAGACAGAATCACAAGATACTAAAGGCAAAACTAAATATTTTTTTAAAGATTTTATTTATTTATTTGGCAGAGAGAGGTCACAAGTAGGCAGAGAGGCAGAGAGTGAGAGAGGGAAGCAGGCTCCCCGCTGAGCAGAGAGCCCAATGCGGGACTCGATTCCAGGACCCTGAGACCATGACCTGAGCCAAAGGCAGAGGCTTCAACCCACTGAGCCACCCAGGTACCCCAACAAAACTAAATGTTAACAAATACCTAGTAGTATTTGACATATGACATATGAGAATGGCTTAATAAATAATCATAAAAGAGACAGTACTATTTCATATATAATATATCTTTTAGATTAGGAAACATCTACAATTGTTTACTGCTGTATTATGCCTCTCTCTTAAATCTCTCAAAGCCAAACTTGCTATTATTTCAGGACTAAAAGACACCAAGCTCTAAGTCCCTGACTACTTACTAGGACGCTGAATTGAGTGCCAGTCTCTTCCTTAGCTCTTTAGGAGTAAATTCAGTTGAGTATCCCAAAATTGAGAGGCCTGTACCATTCAGGCATTCCTTCTTGAGATGGGATACTCCCTCCACTCCAGCTGAAGGAGCTCGAATGAGAGATATCAAGAGGTCACAGGGAGACTGCACTCGAGTCTAAGGAACCATACTGCCTTCACTCAGTTGACTTCCTCATAAACCCCTTCGAAGTTTGAGACCAGTCAGCATCTACCTCAGCAAGTTGCCTTTTCTTGGTGTTCATCTTCCACAGCTCATCACCTTCCTTAAATACTGTGGTCCCTCATCTTTAGGTACACTGTACTGTCTTCCCAATTCTCTCATGACTTGTGTTTTTTCTTTCTGTTGTTGAGTATTTTCTCTCCTTTGATTTTTGAGGTGATCCTCAAAATTCTATCTTCAGGTCTCATCTTTTTTCTGTAGATGTTTCCCTCCTTTGTGTCAACCACCACCTCAGCACAGAAGAATCCCAATTCTACACCCCTAGAGAAATTCCTAACTACCTAACTACCTTCTAGATGTCACCACCTTGAGACCTCTATACCTCAAAAAGCAACGTCTGTTACCATTTGTACGTGCCCTTTGTCTTCCTTCCTCTGTATCTTTCCTCTTGCCATTCCCTCCATCTGGAGTCCCTCTGCAATTTCAGCCTGTTCAAATTCTGCTGGTAAGTTAAGCCTTAAATATCATCTCCAGCTCAAAGCTTATCCAGATTTTCTCCCCCCCCCTTTTTTTTAAGGATTATGTTTATTTATTTATTTTAGACAGAGAGAGTGAACATGAGTGGTGAGGGGCAAAGCAGGGAGACAGAGGGACAAGCAGACTTCACACTGATCATGAAGCCTGATGCTGGGCTCAATCCTAAGACTCTGAGTTCAGGACCTGAGCTGAAACCAAGAATCAGATGCTTAACGGATCGTGCCACCCAGGCGCCCCTTAGCCAGATTTCCTCAACTACATTTGATGTCTTTGTGTTTTAAACTCACATGGCATTCCAGGTATATCTAACTTACAGAAACAGTTTTATTCCACATATTTTGTAGGTTGTTTATATAATCATCTTATCCTTATACTATAGTTCATAAATTATTCCTACTATACACTATCTACATGTTAAGCAAATGTAGCTTTTCCTCCTCTGTGACTGAGCTGGTTATTCTCACAAACCACCACCTGCCTGGTGTGAATAAAGCACAGAAGTTAATGGCATACATGACGTGACATTGTTTTTCTAAAGAAATATACAATGAGGAGGGTTATGACATATTTTTCCTGACTTCATCCACCAGGGAGCACTATGTTTCACTAGGGAAATAATTCACAAAACCCCCAGTGCTCTGAGAGCCTCATGTGGATGATCAACATTTCGCTCTGATTACTCTCTCCAATTTTTACCTTGTGGGTTCCTAGAGGAAGGGAGAAGAAAGATTCTCATTTAATCAGCCCTTCACACTTCTTCTACTCAAGCATCATCTGCTTTTACTTTGTGACCTGCTGTCACTGTTTGCTCAAGGGTCTGGTCCCTGCCCTTTCCTCTGTGGCCACCAGTATATCCAGCCCACTATATACGGATCCTTTCCTCTCTCCCCGATACATGAGAAATTTGTCTGAATTCTACAGGAGAACTATAGGTCCCTACAGCAGTAGAAAACAGTACTTTTGAGTAAGGGACTGGGGGGGGGGGGCTAGGTAGGGAAAGAAAGCTTAGGGGTTTATGGGATCAGGCTCACAGAAATCCCCAAATTGTGGAGGTGTAAAATTAGATATAGGAGAACACACCAGACCACCCTGCCCCAGGTTGGGGGGGGGTGTCTTTTTTAGGACAGTCACCTGTGACCAACAAAGAATAACCAGACCCTAAAAAGAAGTGAGTCATTAAAGATGTCATTGCTAGTCCTTACTCAAGGCAAGACATCATAAGAACGGTAAGGCCACAAGCTCCCTAGTCAATTCTAAATAAAAGATGGTCAGTGGAGGCCCATGTTGGCAACTCTGTCCAGACCCCTCTTAGTCCTGAGAGCCTTTTCTATACCCTTGCTTAATAAAACTCTATTGCCTTATTCACCCTCCTTCATCCATGAGATTCATTCTTCAACTCCATGAGACAAGAACCTTGCTCTCCCACCTCACTTTCTTCTATCTCACAGCTCTCGTATCCAGAGCATGCAGGCTTCTGAGGGAAGGAGATGGTTAAGCCCATCTTGACCATCACACAGTCCTTGTACCTGTTCCATCCAATCTTTGGATACTAGAGCTCAATTTCTCCACCCCTCAAGATTATTACGCCTTCTGGGGTGCATGGCTGGTTCAGTTAGAAGAACATGAGATTCCTGTTCTTAGGGTCTTGAGTTCAAAACCCATATTGGGCTAGTGCTTACAGAAAGAAAGAAGGAAAGGTGGAAGAGAGAGAGAAAGAAAGAGAGAGAGAGAAAGAAGAAAGACTATTCTCCTCCAGAACTCCTCCTCCAGCCATCTCTTTCCGGGAGCCTGATTCATCTTACTGAACTTAAAAACTAGAAGCCTATCTGCAGGGGAGAGTCATGTTTTCTTCCACTTCTTTATGAAGTTCTGGGCTTCATAAAGATCGGAAAACATGTCTGGAATTCTGTTCCAGCCTCCCTATCTCTGATATTGAGCGTCTGCTCTACCAGGAATTCACAGACAGCCTAGGTGTCTGGACTGCCTGATGCCACACTCTGGTGGAACAGAGTCTTTGCCCACACAAACCTGGATTTGTCTTTACAGAAATCTCTGTAAAGGGGCACAGAAAAATATTAGTCTGAGGGTAATGAGAATATAATCAATCTGAATTTTTTAAAATATTTTTCCATATTCAGTATAATAACCATTAATTTTATAATAAAATAGCGGTTTTTTTTTTAAGTTAGCACTTGCGTCTTTCCTCCTGGTTTTTTAATCTTATTTTTTAAAAATTTTATTTATTTATTTGACAGAGAGATAGAGAGCACACTTTGGCAGAGAGGCAGGCAGAGGGAGAGGGAGAAGCAGGCCTTCCACTGAGCAGGAACCCAGATGTGGGGCTCAATCCCAGTACACTGGGATCATGACCTGAGCTGAAGGCAGTGTCTTAACCAACTGTGTCACCCAGGTGCCCCTCTGCCTGGTATTTTAATTGGGATGTATACTTCCCTGGCCTCCCCCTTTCCCATTCTACACACACACGTATGTTCAT